CCCCAAAACCCCAAAACCCCAAAACCCCATTACTGAAAATATGATCTAAAAAGGAACAAAGTTAAGTGAAATTAAATTCTAGGAGTGACGATCTTATTACAAGTGGTGGCTATAATTCTTTAATTAGACTCTTATACTACTGTGATTTAAATATTGAGTGCTTGACGAAGCTTAAAGATAATCAGATTATTTCGGGTCTCATATGAGTCAATACTGCCATATTGCCTCTAACTTTGTCTAGATAATCCAAATCTATCTCGCAAATAAAGTAACCTTCTTTATCGCTCATTTGGCCGATCTAGAAAAACTATAATGAAGAGACGTGATCTTACAATATCTCCCCAAGGATCTATAACCATCGAATGACCATAAGACTGAATCGTGTCGTTATGAACTCCAACTTAGTCGCATGCTATGACATAACACTAATTCTCTATGGCCCTAGCTCTAAGCAGTGGCTCATAATGAGCAGCTCCAGTCTTTGTGTAAAAAGCACTGGAGTTTATCAAAACTTAAGCTCCTTTAACAACATAACTTCTGAACAGCTCTGGATATCTTAAATCATTTGACTATAATCGTTATTAATATCCAGTGTAGAAATGTCAAAATAAATAAGATAAAATAAGAAAGCCAATATATAGAGTGCTTACGATAGAAAGTCCCAGATAGCCAATGGGAGAGATGATTGGATCAGGGACGACTTTGCCTGGCTCGATGTATTTATTCTCTTAAATGCTGACTCCTCCCTATCCCTCATTAGTATAAACATGTAATTTGATTTTACCTTATGCGTGAGATCTATATCAAAGAGGTGAAGTTTTCTGTATTCCTGAACAATATTGCCTTCCTCATTAATGATTAAGTGAGTGTCTATAAATATACACAAATTATTAGCCAGAATGCTTACTGTGTCTTTTCAGAGCAGGAGTTTCGCAAGCCTCAGCGAATCCCCCCAACGACAGCCAAACTCTGTTTTCAAGGGCCAGTTGCTTATACATTTTGAGAGTTGGTCCGTTGAGAGGTTCAGCTTTAGCTATAGTTTCCTCAAATGTCTTCGGCATGTAGTGAAAGTTTTCAGGCAAGCAGACCAACTTGGCTCCTCTCTAGGCGCACATTTCAATGTAGTGCTTGTTCATCTTGAAGTTAGTCTCTATGTCTGGGGTTGAGCAGGTCTACACAATGCCCACTAAACTCCTGAAGTGATCCTTTGTGGTCGTCAAAAGTTATTGGTAGAGAGATAATCTATTTATCATTTTATTTTCAAATATTTACAAAATATTTTAACCCATTGTCTTTTTAATTGAAATTATGGGGTTTTGGGGTTTTGGGG